ACGTTGGGCGCGATTGTGTGGATTTCATTTATCAAGCCCAGATTTTGTGTGAACTTCAATGAACGGTCATGCGGATTTCTTGACCAACTGAGCGCTGTTTCTATCATACGGAGTCATTTACAGCTGTGAACGTTTCTTTGATGCTTCGCTTTCACTAAAAACACTCGTGATCAATAAATGTACCTCGAAACCTAAATTTGCTTCACTACCCATGAACACAGCCCAAGAGACCGTCCAATGGAGAGAGAAAGTAATGCAGCCAGTGAAATTCGAGGTGGTTTGTACTAAGGGAAGAACTTGGGTAGGTTCGAACAGCGAAAAGCGGACGGAGAGAGAATTAATTATTAATATTATTTGCATATTTCTCACATTACTCTTGAGCGCGTGGGGGTTTTGCAGTTCGGTGGAAATGTCCGTGAACCACACCCCTTTCATGTCTTCACTGGTTGACCCCTGCATAGGCTAGTGACCTCACACTCCCACACTGATGGCGCTTCCACAGGGACACACACGGGTAACCGTCAACAGGCCATCGGGCGCAATTTGAACCGGACGTAAGAAAAATTTTGCTCTGCGTTTATGTAGTGTATTTGTGCTTATACGCTTCAGTGAATTTTGTTTGTCATAGAACCATACTTGAGCATGCTGACAGTGATTCAACATTCTGTTCGGCTAAATTCAGAGTCATGATATAAGGACAACAGGACGTTAGGACGCGTCCAAATCCTGCAGGAAATATCTGGGAACAAGCTTAAATAATATTTATTCGCAGAAGTTACTTAAAAGAGATCTGATAACACTGCGATTAGATGCAAACTCGTTTGCTAATGATATGATAAAATTAGTTTTTATCAACTAACGCGTAACTCTCTCCGCGATACGAGAACTTTCCCTAGAAGTAAACACACGCTCAGTTGATAAAATGTTCTTGGTATTATACAACTGTAAGGTATACTACAACGCTCACAGAAGTCTATAATTGACCTCTGCAGCCAACTAGCTGAATCCAATCTAAATACTGATACAATATCTCCTCAATATTAATTTTAATATTATTTACCTATCTGAGCATAAATTTTAAAGCGATCTTCGTTCATAATATCCGACCAAAATCTTGTATGGATGTGTTTTTTATACATGGTACGGTAAAAACACGTGGAAGAATATAGAATGAATTTATATATCTGCGATGTTAAGGATGAGGTGAATGGCAAAGGTCTATATAACATGATAATATTAAAATATATCTCACAGAACGAGACCAGTAAATAAAATCAACCATTTAACATTCTTTTCCATCCACTAATCACCCCCTTGTCTTGCCTCGGGGAGCCGAATTATTATTCCAAAATGTGTTATCTCACATTCAGAAATAATATCTGCGTATCAAGGCTGATAAATTTCACACTGCATATAATAGTGTTGTTCAAACACTGGCAGTACTTTTAAAAGGAAGTTATGTAACGAAAGTTATCTCTTAACTTAGGTTTTAAGTGCAGAAAGTTAATTTCTAAACGGTATAACTAAACGTCTACTTACCAGTATCCCTGGTCCAATAGTTGATTGCCTTTGGCGAGGCTTCTACGTTACACTGCAGAGACACATCTGTGCCTGTTGGAGCACCTACTAGTTGGTTTGGGACTTGAATGAGTGGATGAACTGAAAAACAGAAACACATTATGTGCATATCTCCTTCATCACTTCGTGCACGGCAAAGAATTTAACGATGTTATTCGTCTGGATTCTGGCGCGCTGTAGACACGGTAGATGCCAACATGTCTCCATCTTCAACACGTTTCTCGGAAAAAAAACATCCATCTACCTTCGATTCTACACGGTACCAAGACCCAAAAGAACATCATCTTCGTAATAATACTAATAAGTAATCCAATTGGTCTTTTTCCTTCGGGTTTTTCGATATAAACACATTTATTTGACACATCCTATGCATGCTACATGCCTATACGACATTGTCCTCCTTGCACTATTGATCTTATATCTTCATCTTGTGAACATTACGTAATAAATATTTTTGTACCGAATCTCAATATTAAGCCCTACTGCTCCCAGTACTTCAGTACTTAATGCCCCATTTACGTGCCAGGTCACGCGCTAAGCTTTGAAGACGAAACGAAATACAGAAGCTTTTTGACAACGAACATACAGCTACTGTTAGAGTATCAGGGGTTTCCGTAGGGGCAGAGGACAGCGTCTGAGGGCCCAAAGGATAATAAGAGATCTTGTAACAGAAGGGCATCCGTCATCTGTGTCAAATGCATCTACCCTTCCCCGTCGAATGACGTCACACTGAAACTGATACACAGCCGATTAATATCCAAGGTATAAAAAACAGTAAGAAGAAAAAAAAATGAAGGCGGAGAAGCTATGAGCATCAACTATGGCCCGCCTTCCTGCTCTATACACCCCTCTCATACAGAAAAAAGGGGTTCTCAGAATACACTTTGCCATCGCATATTTTACTTTTTATCGTCTGTTAAGAGGACACATCCTTTCTTCAAGATGCCAGCATAGTAAAGGATGATTTTCAATTTCGCACTTGGCACAGTTTAAATAAACTCACTCACCCTTCTCTTGGAATCCTTGAGGCGTTCTGGAAAGTGCAGTATGGCGGTTTCATTCTCAATGTTGTATAAACTTGAGCACGCTGATCAGAAGCCTCAATTTTATACGACTCCAAAATAAAAATGGGGACGGAAGGAAATACTGAACTGGGGCAGGTCTACGTCTTCTACAAACGTAACTCCTTTGTCGTCACTGCCCCTCGTAAAAGTTTAAATTGATAATTTGCATCACCAGTAATCGAGTATGTAGAATTTACAGCCATGAAACCAGAAATATTCTAGTGTTAATTACCACAGATTCGGAGCGTATTTAAGAAATCGAAATGTTCCCTTAGCAACATTTCAAGCAAGTCAAATTAACGCGTGATAAATTCCTCATCGGAAACTATCTGCCGATGAAATCCATATAAAACCGAAAATTTAATATACGATCCACACGTTAATCATCTTATGTATTTATCTGTTTTAACAACTTTAAACACAGCGGTAGATACATACACCACATACATTAAAATTCTGCACTTTGTCGACACAGTGTATTAATATATTTAGTAAGGTTCTCAGAATAAAGAGTTGGTACTTCCGAAACGGAATTAAAAATTGAGTCTTATAAGTACCAATGTTAGTTTCTTCGAGATAAGAAACAAAATTATAAATTCTTTTATAATAACTTCGGGCTTCAAAAGTATAAAAACGCTCTGAATAATTTAGATTATTCAAGGATCATAAAAAAATATTGTCGTTTGATGGTTATTGTTAAAACTACATAAGTACGGAAGAATTTTAAGTGACTGTGGCGTATTTTATGGAAACCTAACTTGGGGCACCCTCGCATCTTATTCCTCTAACATTAACTGTAATGTTACAAATGGCCTCTTCAACTTCGCCAATTACGTGTTACGCATTTAACATGTCTCATACTATACCGCATAAGCCATGATCATGTCATTAAACTCTTTAACCTTATAATATCAGTGAAGTGTACAAATTATGGAGTTCATCCCATGATAATTTTCAGCGTCCCTTCAATTAATCAAATACCCAAATAAACAACCAGCAGTAATACGTATGGATACAAAGATCTACTCCGTATTTGGTTATTTATTATTGTTACTCCATATACAGTGGTCATAAAACTAATGCATGCATATTTATTACAATATATGGGCTGTTAACATGCAATAAATCAATTACCTTTCATATAAAGTCTACATATCATAATAGATATATTTTTTTTCAGTTTTTAATTCAAACATGATTTAGTGTTTTTAGTGAAGTGAACTCCTTTGACTATGCAAAGTATGGTTTATTTTGGAGAATGTATAAATAATAAATATGAAAATTCATGTTAAGTCGCTCTATAGGAGACGTGTATTAGAGCTTATCTGTCCGTACGTGGTATGTAATGGCAGAACATAATTCTTCATGACGTAACAGTCACAATTTTATTAAATTTCATAGTAAAAAATGACCGACAATATTTACTGACGTTACCTAAAATACAGTAAGTCAGATAGCTGTTTAATAAAATCTGTGTGCATGATAAATGTATGGCTTCTTTATTTATCAGTGGGTTAGGATAAACCTATGAAATTATAAGTGTGGGGTTATATCAAACATATGGGCTTCACGGTTAATTAATATCCTACTTCAATCTCCACCCCTCTAATCCTAGTTCTAAAACGAAATTTAATTACTCCATCAGAATTAAAAATGTATATTTCGCTATTAATAAAAGCATTATTTTGTATTTAGTATAGTCCTATACCTCACACACCACTCTGGGGATGATAAAAATCTTTAAGCACTTCTATGGCATTAACTTCATGAAAATCGGCCATTTTGAAATCCTGGTTGGAAGGGGGGGGATACCGAAAAAATATTTTTCAGTTACGTGGATTATGATAATTGACCTAAACTGGCTCAGAGTCGTGCCCATTGGTGGGTCTTAGTGTTAAATGTAGACACTTTGTGTTGTAATAAAACACATACTTAAGATTATTATTTATATTTATTTTCCGAAAGATCCAAAACACTAGTTTATAACGCTGTAATGTATGCATACAAAGATAGTAATGAGCATGAACACTGCGATCTGACAGACGTCGTTCATACGGACAGTTAATAGTGACGCGAGTGGTTAGCATTCTCCTATTTCGTATTCGGGACGTTCCGGGGTTGAAATCCTGACTGAAGCTTTTCAAAGTTTTATCCAGTTGTTCCAGACAAACGCTGGGATAGTACCATTAAAACAGGCCACAACCATTTCTTTATATATCCTCTTCAATTCATTAATCACTATTTAACACTAAAAGTCGGAGCTACAGACTGTGTCGTTAAATAAAACACATCTAGGAATAGTAGTAAACTTTGTGGCTGTATTTATGGGTCGGACACAATTTAAATAATTTAGATCCCAGCTCTGTAACTGGGAAGGGTTAAAATGGCTACGCAGATGTACCTGTTTGAATTTCGCTGTAGTTAATCTCTGTTCACTGTGGCTAACAAATTAAAGCTCTGGGGGTTGCTGAATTTGAAGGCAGGTTCTCTTGGGGTTGGATGTAGGTTTTGCGTCATCGTGATACTGTATGAACTAGAGTTCATTTAAAGGTAGAATGTTTCTTAGAAAAAACATTCCAGCACTGACGTGTGAAAAAACAAATATTATCGTAGACAAGACTGGTCAAGTGATCGAATCCCATCCGAGATATTATTTATTTTTTCATTGCCAACTATCATTTTATTCAATGCATTATTCTTCCAAATTTGGTATATTCTGTCACTGACTAAATTTAGGAATACATTTTTTGAAACTAAGACGAATATTACAACTAACTAAATAGGGCAAGATTTCGATAAGTTGATATTTGTTCCTTTTGTCATCTGGACTCTATCCTGAATCGACTTTTTTTAACACTTTAAACACACTGGTAATTATATTCACCACATTCTTAAACATTAAGTACCTCAGCGTCTTGCCTACAGAATATAGCCTATTTATAGACTTCGTTCTGAGAATAAACATCGACTATTTTCTTTAATCAACTTTAAATAAATTATATTTGTAATAGAGATACGTTATGTTTTCCTTGAGGTAAGGAATGAATTTGAAGTAATATTTAGATAGACTTCGGCTTCAAAGGGTTAATAAACATTTTAATATTATCCTCCCATCTATAATTAGTTCTCCCATGAGACTTCTTCCTTTTAGGTTTCCTGAATAAAATTCTGTATGTGTTATGGGAAACATACAGAAGTATCTATCCATCTCATACTCGTTGATTTGATAATCCTAATAATATGACGACAAACACAAATTATGTAGCTTCTCATTTCGCTTAATTCTAGTGCAGACACCTAGCGTTCTTGTGTCTTCATGTATACTAGTTTTCCCTCATTCCGCTACTGCAAGCGTGCTCAGTCTAACTGAAGACAGTTGCTGCTTCTTCTGTCTGAAGAATGAAACCTCATTTACCTCTCTCTGGTGTTCGTACGTTCTTTGAATGCCAATGTTTCTTGTAGGACAAGCAAAACCAGTGCCCTATGCATACCAAACCTCAACTTCGCAATGTGGGACAACTTAGACCTATATTATTTTTAACGCGCGTATCAGTATAAATTATTAATAGGAATTCAAAGGACTCGACACTTCACAGAAAGCAAGCAAAAAGGAATTTAAAGTGAGAAAAGAAAGAAAAGAGAAGATTTTAGATCTCTCAAATAGAAAGCCTGTAATATATATCTTTGTTGCACGATAAAAAGGGCTTAAGACAAACGTATTTTGTATTGCTTTAAGTCTTTCTCACTATTCAATGAAGATATATGACAACTCTACGCCAGGCTTCTCCAGAGCATGTTTCTCGTTTCATTTAAATATCATACTCCCCTTTCTTTAACACCGAATCTTGGGAAAAGGCCGAAGATTAAGTTATGATAATGTTAATTTAGAAATGAGAACGCAAAGATTTCACCAAGTTTCAATTTTTCTTTCTTAAAAATAAAATAATTAAAATACACATAATTAAATAATTAATAAGAGAACAGATTTAATTATATGTGTTTGTTGACTTAGTTATT